TTCTGGCAAGTATAGACTTAAGTAGAGAGCAAAAAAGAGCATGTATCCCTCAAGAAATATTAATTTAATAAATGACTGCACTATTTTGCTCCAAACCAAATAACATGGCAGAAATGATAAAGAACGTCACTAAAAAGAGATCGAAAAAATTTTAAGTCAAATATCTTAAAAAAACTCATTTGAAGAGATAATTAGAAAACTTTACTTTCAAATGTTTAAAAAATTTTAGTAAATAACTGAAGTATTACTGGTACTTGTTGGAAAACTGAATTATCTTCCATGCTTAAAAGCATAGAAAGTCCATGTGAAGTTAAAGTTTCTGCAGGATGGAACAATAAATATAGTTAGTGAGTAACAATAATAACAACAGTGAATGTAGTAGTTAGACCACAGCAGGTTACAAAATTTTTTTTTTTTGAGTTTTAAAACTTTTCATCTGTTAATATAAAATAGAAGAATTTTTTATTGTTACTGATGATTCAACAATAACCTTATACCTTCAGATTTTTTGTTTTATAGAACTGCCAGCTAATCAAACAGTACTGCTAGAGCTGGTGACCACAAAGATAAATGTATAGCTGGGCTCGGTGGCTCAGCCTGTAATCCCATGCCTTTGGGAGGCTGAGGTGAGTGAATTGCCTGAGCCCACGGGTTCGAGACCCGCCTGGGCAGCGAGACCTCGTCTCTACAATAAATAAAAAAATCAGCCGGGCATGGTGGTGCATGCCTGTAATTCCGGCTACTTGCAAGGCTGAGGCGGAAGGATCGCCGGAGCCCAGCAGGCCGAAGCTGCGGTGGCCGTGAGCGGCCACTGCACTCCAGTCTGGGCGACAGAGTGAGACTCCAACTCAAAAAAAAAAAAAAAAAAAAAGATAAATGTATAAAAGCTGCCTTAATCTTTCTTTTCACAATGGAGTCAATGCACACCCATTTTAAATAAAACAGTTTATGTTAAGACTAGCAGGTAATGATAATTTTTAGGAAAAACAATGAAGGATGAAGAAAAAACTCATACATTTTTTTCCTAAATAAGTTCTAAAAGTGCTTGTACATGTGCCTTAAACTTTTACTACCAAGAAGGATAAAGATTTCTGAACTAACTTAGAAGTACAGTCTAATATCACATAAAAAAGACAAAGGCCAGGCATGGAGGTTCACACCTATAATCCCAGCATTTTGAGAGGCCTAGATGGGAGGATTGCTTGAGGCCAGGAGTTCGAGACCAGCTTTGGCACATAGTGAAACCACATTTCTAAAACAATTTTAAAAAGTAGCTGGGTATGATGATGTATGACTGTAATCCCAGCTACTCAGGAGGCTGAGGTAGGAGGATCACTTGAGACAAGAAGTTCAAGGCTGCAGTGAACTATGATGGCACGGCACCACTATACTCTAGCTTGGATGACAGAGTGAAACCTTGTCACTTAAAAAAAAAAAAGACCAAAGTGACTGACCCATCTGGAGCATAAAATATTGGTTCCTAAGAAAATTATCTTAACCACAAAAACTAAAAAAACCATTATTTTTTACTAGGGTCTTAGCCATACAACTTTCTTTTACAAGGTAGCAAAAAACATTATCTCACCTACTTGTAATTACTCAGGTTTGATTCCTTAACACTTCAGTGCCAAAAGTTAAATAATTATAATCTATGTACCACATGTTGAGCCTATTGTATAAAATTGGCTCCATTCACCAGTATATAACCAGTCAAAGCCTTCATAATTTCTAATAGCTCAACCTTTTCCCACAATTGCTAATTATCCAGGTTTTATTAAATGACTAAATATAGCTACATACTCTTTGCTTTAAAAAAAATAAATCAAGTCACAACTTAAATTGTTAAGCCTGAATTGCATTTAGATCTTGACTGAGTTTCACTTCAGGAATTATAAAATCTAGGCTAAATTACCTAAATTCTTCCCTTGTCTAATTTATATGTGGACTACTTTCTAAAGAAACCACATGAATTGATTGTCCACTTGTCAGTAGAATGCTTTTCAGTGAATATTATGGGTAAATGAGATTTTTAAAAGACTTTTAGACTAGAATCTTTTCTTTAGAAATGCAACACTGAGGCTGGGAATGGTGGTTTACGCCTCTAATCCCAGCACTCTGGAAGGCTGAGGTAAGAGGATTGCTTGAGCCCAGGAGTTCAAGACCAGCCTGGGAACATGGTGAAATCTTTTCTCTACAAAAAATTTAAAAAATAGCAAGGTATAGTGGTGTGCACCTGTAGTCCCAGCTACTTGGGAGGCTGCGGCAGAAGGATAACTTGAGTCTGGAAATTTGAGACTGCAGTGAACCGTGATCGAGTCACTGCACTTCAACGTGGGCAGCACAGAGTGGGATTCCCTGACTCAAAAAAAAAAAAGAGAAAGTAACACGGAGGTAGTTTATTTTTATTTTTTTGAGTTGGAGTCTCACTCTGTCGCCCAGACTGGAGTGCAGTGGTCGCTCCCGGCCACCGCAGCCTCGACCTGCTGGGCTCCAGCGATCCTTCTGCCTCAGCTTTCCGAGTAACTGGAACTATAGGCGCGCGCTACCACGCCCGGCTGATTTTTTTGATTAATTGTAGAGATGAGGTCTCGCTGCCCAGGCGGGTCTCGAACCCGCGGGCTCAGGCAATCTACTCACCTCAACCTCCCAAAGGCGCGGGATTACAGGCTGAGCCACCGAGCACGGCTCTGAGGTAGTTTAATAGAAAAATATATTCTCCAGAGAACTGTCTGTCTCCTATATTAGTTTTCAGAACCAAATTATTATATTATAAAAGGCAATAACCATAAGGGTTACTTGTTTATTGATTTAAGGTTGACTTTTCCAGTATTTTTTCAGTATATTTAATAGAATTTAGCATATATGTCTTTTCAGGGCCATCTTTTTTTCCTTTTATAGAAGGTTCTCTATGTAAAGTTTATTTCCAGGGACCAAGCTCATTTATGTTCCACTTCACGGAATATACATTGACCCTGAAAGTCTAGATGACAAATGTACCAAAGCGCACACCTTCATTGACTAGAGGATGAAAATGAGCAAACCTAATTACCAGAACACACGGGCAGAAGACATGAAAGTGGCATTCTCTTAGCAGCAGGACTGGAGACAGGAAGAGGTGGGGCTACTGTACGAGTGGTTTAATATGCCACCGAACTCATCAACAGACTGAGGTGATTTGTGGCACGGAAGTTTTTAGGCCTGAGTGCAGGGATTACTATGATACAGTAAGACTGAATTTGAGAAATAAATCTCTAAACCCAAACCAGTTGCTAAGCACCTACCATATGTAAAGCACTGGGCTGGAGGGCCAGGGAGGGCTCAAACATAAATTAGATATTTATTAGATATCGAATTAGATAATCTTTTAGTTTTTCCTAATTCTAAAATTCCTAATTCCATCTATAATAACCCATCTTTGAAAGCATCCATCTAAAGAGCAGAGATCTTTCAAATTAAAAGAAAAAATATAATATTTACTCTGATTGCATTTCTTTCTTAAAAAGGCATTTACACCACCTATGAAATTATTTTATTACTTGGGGCTGAGCATGGTGACTCATTCCTGTAATCCTAGTACTTTGGGAGGCTGAGGCAGGAAGATGGCTTGAAGACAGGAGTTTGAAACCAGTCTAGGCAATACAGTGAGATCTCATCTCTACAAAATAAAAATTAAAAAAAATGTAACCACATGTGGTGCCATGTGCCTGTTTCTACAAAATAAAAATTAAAAAAAATGTAACCATATGTGGTGCCATGTGCCTGTTAGTCCTAGCTACTCAGGAGTTTAGGCTGGAGGACTGCTCAAGGCCAGGAGTTTGAGGTTACAGTGAGCTACATACAGCCTGAGTAACAGAATGAGACCCATCTCTAAAAACTACTTTATTACTTAAAAATGTAAAAACCATCCATTTTCCCACATTTCCTTAGATCATTATCATGGAAATAAAATTCCAATTAAGGCTCACTCAATGAGTGGTGGCTCATGCCTGTAATCCCAGCACTGTAGGAGGCCTAGGTGAGTGGACTGCCTGAGCCCGCAGGTTCAAGACCAGCCTGGGCAATTTGGCGAGCCCTCACCTCTACAATAAACAATAAAAAAAAAATTAGCCAAGCATGGTGGCGCATGCCTGTAGTTCCAGTTACTTGGAAGGCTGAGGCGGAAAGATCGCCTGAGCCCAGCAGGATGACGCTGCGGTGGCCAAGAGCGTGCCACTGCCCTCCACCCTGGGTGACAGAGAGACTCCAACTCAAAAATAAATAAATAAATAAATAAATCCACTTAAATAAAACAAACAAACAAACAAAAAAACATGAAATCAAACTAGTCACATCAACAACTATCAGGGAAAACTACACTTATTACCTTAAAGCCACAGCATGTACAACCACAATTATATCTCTATATCCCGCTTCTTGCAAACTGAACAAAACAATGTGCTTCTACAGGAACTCTGGGCCAGGCAGCAAGTCTTTTAGAGGAAGAAAAGTCAATTTAACCCTTTTCCTCCTAAACCCTTTTTATATCAAAGTTAAAAGATTCAACACATTACAATATTCTACCTTTCTTTGGGAGGGAAACATTTGCAAAACTCCATTCTTTTATTTTACATACTTTTATTATTTACTTAGAAAACCTGTTGCTTAATATGCAAATGTCAAACTGGGGGAGGGAGGGAGGAAATGAAGCTCAACAAACACAACAAAATAAAGTTGCTCTGCTATGTTGAGGCTGCCAGGCTTTTTGTTACTCTACTTGAAAGTAAATGTGACTTGTCTGTAGAGAGTGCTGCTTCAGCAGTTCCAATGAATTTCAGGCCTGTGCTCCATATTTTCTCTTTTGTAAGTTTAATGTATTCAGCAACACTGAACTGACAATTTAAATAACTACATTTTTAAACAAACGAAGCATTGATGTTAATGTATGAAAATGGTCCAAACCCCTGGGAGTCTTGGTTCCCACCATTGTTTATTCTGACAACAGGATATAATTGCTTACTTACTTGGCAGCAAATTTAACCATCTGCTTGCTTGCATGGTCTCCCACTGCCACCAGAGCCTGGACATTAAACTGCTGCTGACGTAGGACTAAGAAGCACTGTTTCCCTGAATAAGACAGAAAAAATGCACATGTATTAAGGACATGCTACTTCAGGTTTTACAAAGAAAGAAAATGCTCTCCATTTTAAAACTAGGCCAAAATTTACCATACTCATCAGGCGCATACATGTATATCCTATCCATTCGGCCTTCAGTAAAATACTCATATGCAACTGACAAACCTTAAAGAAACCCAAGTTCCTACTATGAGTAACACAAAAGTGCTTTTAACATGTTTGTTATCAGAACACAGGCAAATCATTAATTTCAAAAAAATTCTAAATAAAGAAAATTATTTTGTCATGGCATTGATTCATTAAATAAATTCAAATAACTTCACATCACTTTCAGCATTCATTCAATAGCTAGTATATTCTACAGACAAAGATGCTGTACTAATGTCCATGGAAATTTCAGTAATGCAACCACAAAAGCATTAATAAAGTGCATAATAACAAGGACACAAGTGTTCTATGGGGTGATCCATCTATAGCTTCTTCCTGCCAAAGTGTATTTAAAGAGCATTTAGATTGACAGGCTCATTCCTTTCATGTTCTGTTTTCCTCATTTTTCCTTTATCATCTTCCTAAGATTTCATCTTTTATAATGGTCCTACATTTTTTTTCTCTCCAATTAAGTTACTCTGACTCTAAAAGATTATTCTCTTTAAGTCCTATCACCAGTTTCATTTTTACATATACTGGGCCTCTTGACTCCCCCTCTTTTTATAAAGAACTGTCATTCCTTATTCTTAATCTTCTGAAAAATATTATTCATAATACAGTTCAGTTAATATGTATCCTTGTGACATCCCTTTTTCTCCAAAATAGATCCTTTTAAAGTCTCTGATCAAATTCTAGGAAACTACTTCCTCATAAAAAATGAGTTAAATCTCTTTAAAACCACTTTTCACATCAGATTGTCTTACAAAACATCAAAGGAAGATTTTGGTGTTTAAATGGAGAATTATCTTGTACATTAAGAATTAGCCTTGTAAAGAAAAAAAGGAAAGAAAAATGCAAGTAGACTTACAGTTATTACTTCCAATACACTGTATTTTGAAATGCAAATCAGACAGAAATCATGAGTAAAAAAAAGACAGGTTGCAAACAAAGTGTCAACACCGACATAATCCATTGACTCTACATGATTGGCAGGTTTTTACCACTAAAAAGACCCTCTAATTTTCCCTTTTCCTTTGGAATATGTCCAGTCACAAAGTAAAATCTTTAAAAAGAAAGTTGCATTAACTAAACAAATTCAAAGGGATTTTAAAATACCTTATGGATAAAGGATTTTAACCAGAGAAACTTGCAGATGAATCAAAATGGCATTATCCTAGGAATTACTGCTGAACCCACAGCCAGACATTTTCCCATTTAGAACAGAATGTTAGTGTAAAATGCAAGGTAACATGCAGATGACAGTGCTAGGCTAAACCATGATATAGTCAGAGTACTTTAGTTGTTCTAATAATGCAGTGGCAGCACAGATCCAGCTACATTATAAAGCCATCCAGTGACAACTCCAACACTACACAAAAGACCCGGAAAGAGAAAGTGAGAGCTCTGAAGGACTTATAAATGTTGAGCACAAGAAAATTCTAGGGGTCAGCGCTAGGGAGTAACATTTAGTGCATGCCTTCGGTTAAAAAAAAAAAAAAGTAAAAAAGATTTGAAATCAAAAGGCCTGGGACCCTATCCTATCCTATCACTTCCTATGTCTGTGGAAAAATTATTAAACCAATTTATATTTCAGTTCTTCATCTGGAATATGGAGAAAAACAATAGTATATTACTCACAGGATTTTCTCCTATAACCTTAAGGATTCTATATGTTTAAAGTTGAGACTGGGCAGAGTGGTTTATGCCTGTAATTCCTGCACTCTGGAAGGTCCAAGTAGGGGATTTTTTGAGCCTAGGAGTTAGACTAGCTTGGGCAACATAGTGAGAGCCTGTCTCTACAAAAAATTAAAAATTTGCCAGATGCAGTGACATGTGCCTATAGTCCCAGCCACTTGGGAAACTTGAGCAGAAGGATCACCTGAGCCTAGGTGGTGGGGGCTGCAGTGAGCCATGATCATGCCACTGCACTCCAGTCTGGGTGACAGAGATCCTGATTCAAAATAAGAAGAATGAAAAACCTGAGACAGACTCCAATTAATGTTCACTATTAATGATGATGATTATTAATAGCACGCTACCACTGGCTACTTATTTGAGGATTACCATTCCTATTTCACAGCTGGATGACTATATATAAGAACTATGCAGGGTATAGAGAACATAAAAGTAAATATTTGGTAGACACTCATGATAGATTAGTACATGGAAAAAAGTGATAAAACCATATATAAAGTATAATCCCTATTTTGCTTGCATAAGAAGTATATTAGGTTGATTGTTCAGGGAAAAAACAACACAACGTGTCTATTATCAGATGGTGAAATTTTGGGGGATTATTCTGTTCTCTGTATTTTTCTCACTTTCTACAATAAATGTATACTACTTTTCTAATCAGAAAAAAATCTTTTAAAAGAGAACTATACAATCCAGAGGTAAGTATAGAAGAAGAAAGGTTAGAGTTGAAAGGAAATTCTGACCAGTTCAAGATTAAACACAGTCAGGAGAACCTGGGAAGTTCTAGAAGGCTAAAAACATAGAAGCAAATGCACCTCCAGAGATGTGACATGCCTGCTAGGAAAAAGAAATCATGAAATCAAATTATGGGTGAAGAATGTGTTTACTAGATGTAATTCTAAAAATTAAATCTCTTCTTACTAAAAAAATAAAAAATAAAAAGGCAACAGATGGGAAAAGAAGAGGTGAAGTAGTGAGACCTGTCCCATGAGCATATTATGTTATAAAACCACTCAGAACATACGACTGTACCAGTACAAAAATAGCCAGATCAATGGAGCATAAGTATTGAGAACAGATCCTGCTAGATAAAAGACATTCTAATTCTGGACAGAGTTCAGGAGATTAACAAAATAAAAAATAAACTGAGTAAAAAATGGAACTGAATATCAAACTATACCACAGAGGAGGGGAGAATTTTCTAAGTTTAAAAATGAAGAACAACTATATATAAAAATAAATCAAAGAGACAAAACACTCTGGGAAAAAATACTGGCTGGATGATATATCACTGGTATAAGAGCTAATACCCTTAATACATAAAGATCTTAAAAATGTACGAGAAAAGAACATCGAAATTCTAGTAGATAAATAGACAATAAACCAGAACTGGTAACCTGAAAAAGAAAACCACAGCAAGCAAATACAGTTAAGGAATAAAAAAAGTTACTGGTAATAAAAGTAAAGCAAGTAATATAAGAAAGAGACGTAAGCTGATTACACACTGTTTACTTCTCAAACGAGTAAAGAGTTTTAAAAAGGTAGTATTATCTAATGCGTGGAAGAATTAAGTAAAAACGTTTCTTCCTAACTTGCTGAAGGCCAGGTAAACTTGCACACCGTTTCTGGAGAACAATTTAGCAATGAGCATTAAAAGGCTTGAAAATGTCATATTTGACTCAAAAAAGACTTACTGAATATTCTCATTTCTCAGAATATATGTTAAAGAAATTAAGTATGAAAGACGTTCATCATATTAGGTAAACTAAGTACGGAAGATATTAATGACATTATTATTTATATAAAAGAATAAAAATTCTATTATCACTCATTTCTATTTACATGATTTTCATTTAGTGAAAAAGATTAGCATGTGACTAACGCTATGGTCCCCAAGCTTTCTGTGTTCAAAGCACTTTCAAATACTAGAAACTTAACGATCTACTTACAAGAATTTTTAAAAGACTCAAACATACAAACAAAATTGGTACTGGTTTCCTGATAAATAGAGCTGTCCACTCAGACTACCTCTCCATCAAGTACTTTTGAGATCAAGTCCCTGCCATGTGTGCTAGTAAATAAAACTATTCTTTCTTTCTTTTGTGCATTTAACAAAGGATATGATCATGCTTGTAAATGCATTTTTTTTTTCTGAAAGGATACACAACAAACAACAGAGTTACTTTAAGGGGGAAGAGACTGTGATAGGATTGAGGAGATAGGATTGTGAGACTTCTATTTTAATTCTACATCTTTTTGTACTATAGGAATTTTTATTTTTACCATATCAATATATTATTTTTAATTCTAAAAAGCAAATATATAATTTCTCCGCTTAGTAAAGTTTTCACTGCATAAGCTAATTTAGGAACTTTAAAAGAGGACAGATTACTACTAAACATTATTCAGCTACTAAACATTATTCATCTTTCTTCTTGGACCTGTCCAAGAGAAGACAGTTTATAAAGAGAAAAAGAAAGTCAATATTCAAAACAGCTAACTAATTAATTTACCGTTTCTTTCTTTTTTTTTTTTTTTTTTTATTGAGACAGGGTCTTGCTTTGTTGCCCAGGATGGAGTGCAGAGAGTGATCATAGCTTACCACAACCTCGAACTCCTGGGTTCAAGCCATTTTCTGACTTCAGCCTCCCAGACAGCTGGTACTACAGGCATGTACCACCATGCCTAGTTAATGCTTTTTTTATTGTGTCACATTTTGTAGAGACAAAGTCTTGGTATGTTGCCCAGGCTGGTCTTGAACTCTTGGTCTTAAGCAATCCTCCCACCTCAGTTTTCCATTGTACCCAGATTTTTTTTTTTCAGACTAGCCAAAGCAATTCTAAGCAAAAAAGAAAAAAGCTGGAGGCAACACATTACTCAACTTCAAATTATATTATAAGGCTATAGCAACCAAAAAAGCATGGTGCTGGTACAAGAACAGACAGATATTCTAAATGTAAGTTCCTAATACTTAAAAATTCGTGTCGCATTTTGAGTCTTATGTTTTTAGAAGAGGCAACTTATTGCTTAAATTTATATAGATGTACTGCTTTAGAAAATAAAGTTTGACATCTTTTATAGTCTTTATTTCTGAGCTGAAGAACATAGTAGTTAGGATAAAAAAGGTTTACTCTCAGTTCCATTATG